TCCCAGGAGGAGAATGGAGAAGAAGGGATTGCAGTGGGGCCGTCCCTCTTAGGGGGTGATTCCTCATTTTACCTCTCTCTGTCTCTCTCTGGCAAGTGCACACGCCTTGTGGCAGAAAAAAAAATAACCAAAAAACATGAAACAAAGAAGAAAAGAAAAATAGCTAGCTTGTAAGACTGTTGTAATGGTTAAATTAGCCATACCACACATGTAAGGGAATCTAATAAATACTTACGGAAATCACGGTAAGGTCTCCATCGGTGTAATTTTTCTGCTTGTCTTCATTCTGCCTTAGCCACTGTGCTCTGGGCATCATGCAACGGAGGTGTCCTTTGCTCACAGAAGATTTGGTCTCAGGTGTGAGCACGGTTTCAAATCAGGTAGGACTCCATGGCCTGAAAGGCCTTCCTGCCTCCAGGAGACCATGAACAGCATGAGTGACCGCCAGGAGACCGTGAACAGAGCACGGTTTCAAATCAGGTAGGACTCCATGGCCTGAAAGGCCTTCCTGCCTCCAGGAGACCGTGAACAGCGCGAGTGACCGCCAGGAGACCGTGAACAGCGCGAGTGACCGCCAGGAGACTGTGGTCACCCTGGGTGTAATAGTTAAAATTCCCCTTTGCTCTGGAACGTGTTGGTTTGTGCTATCCCAGGGCTCCTCATCCTGTCGGAATCACCCAAGCAGCTTTTAGAAAATGCAGATTCCAAGATGCCACCTTCAGTCTGAGGCCAGTCACTGAAAACAAACCTAGAAGGGGGACAGCAGGTGGCATGGTGGTTAAGAAGCTGGATTTCCACATGGCCAACTGTGGTTTGAGTCCCAAACCTGGTGGTTTGAAAAACATGCTGGGCATGTGTGTGTGTGCCCAAAATCCTAGGAGGAGGATTGTGGCATGACCTTGCCTCATGGGGGTGGGGGGATCTCTTTCTCTCTCTAGCAAGCACACGAGGCCTCTAGAAATTTAAAAAGGAAAGGTGAACACCTGACACTCTACTCTCCTATTCTTTTGCTTCTTCCCTTCCCTGCTCTTCCTGAACAAGGTGTTCCGAAAGTCGCGGGCAGGGTGCGGCGCGGTAGGAGTTCCGGTGCTGTGGGTGGGAGCTGTGGAGGTCGCGGGAGGGGAGTCGGAGCCGGAGCCTGGTGAGCAGGCAGCGCTGTGGGGGACTGTCCATCACGTCACGTGCGATCCTGGCACACTGATATCTCGTTTCAGCTTGACCACCCCCCGGATTCATCTGATAAAGCAGTGGAAAGGCACAGCATTGACGCCAGCCAGACCGGAGCAACATCCGGTTCCCCTGTAGCCACTTACACCATTTCTTGGATAACCATGCAGCAGTGTGTGTGTGTGTGTGTGTGTGTGTGTGTGTGTGTGCGCGCGCGCACGTGTGTGCACGTACCCCAAGGGCTTCCACACAACGGGTGGCCTGGTATGGGTGTTGGAGCCCAAGCTCAGTGAGGGGGCATCCGCGTGGGGGTGCAAGTAGGGAGGAAGGCTGGCAGGAGTAGGTGGCTGGGCAGGAAGAGGACGCGTTCAGGGAGGAGGGTGGCAGAGACGGGAGACTTCACACAGGGGACAGACTGGATAAGGAAACCTCTGAGGGGTCAGGGGAGCCTGTTTCTCAGAGTAGATTGAAATATACCCACACATAGGGGCAGGAGGTGGTGCGGTGATTAAGGCACTGGACGCCCACATGGCCAATCGCGGTTCAAGTCCTGGACCTGGCAGCTTGCTTTCTCATATTCCTTCTCCTTGTCTCTCTCTGGTCAAATTGTAAAACAATAACAATAAAATTAAAATAATCTAAAAATATATATACCCATAACAACATACATAAACACAGAGCCTTCACAGACTTCATAGAAATGTATTTTATGAAAAATCTGGGACCAGTAGAAGGCATAGCAGTTACGTTGCTGGACTCCCACACGGCTGACTGTGGTTCGAGTCCTGGATCTGGTGGCTTGAAAATCACCCCGGGTATGTGTGCATGCATGCCCAAAATCCCAGGAGGAGAATGGAGGAAAAGAGATTGCCGCATGGTCATCCTCCCCGGGGGGTGATTTCTCACTTTCCTTCTCATCATCTCTGTCTCTCTCTCCTGTGAGTATATGCCTATGGCAAAAACCTAAAAAAACCCTACATGGGTTTCAACATTTTTTGGCACCAAAAGAAACTTGTACTTTCCATCATTTTTTCCACAAACTTTTTGAAGTCCCCTCATCACACACAGAAATATTCTCTCTCAGACACACGCTATCCTGTATCCCCAAGTTCTATCCACCAAGAGGAATTGAGAGCAGTGATACCCAACAACCCATGAGTTAACCTAGCACCTGGGTCTTGGCTTCTACATATCATTTCCCACTAAATGGAACTGGGATCCTTGGAGAAATGGCTGACTCCAGGGTTGGAGTTAGGAAGTTCAAGATGAGCCTGGAACATCTTGTACCAGAAAGCGCGACAGCCTTGAGGATGGAGCAGGATGTTGAAAGGACGCAGGAGGCAGTTCCCACAATCCGATCATCAAACTAGCCAGGGATTAATTCACCAGTAACAGATGTAACCCTTGGAGTAACAGAAGCAACTGGAGTCCTCATGGATGTAAATCAACACATGAATAACAGTGAGCGTATGTGTAGGGTCTTAAAGCATCTCCCTTCAACGTATTAACTTAGGGATGGGCGGGAGTGACTTTGCAGGGAGAAGTCCGGCGCTGTCTGCCACCTCGATCAGTGATCTTAGTGAACACAGGTACTGGGACGAGGAAATACAGTGAGATGGACAACCCATGACTCTCCCAGGACAGTTGGGAGGGCCTATGAGGGGACATTCAGACAAAGCCTGAACAGACAATCTGCAGAATGTCCAGCCTGGACTCCCCAAGAATCCCAGCTTTGCAAGTAAAGACGAGATGAAGGCCCCTGCTCCAAATGGAAAGAGACCCCGGGAAGCGTGATTCTGACCTGGGTCCCTTGGGATGACTGTGACAACTGAAGGAACCGGAGTGGAGTCAGGGCTGTCGGTCCTGATAGAGAGCCATGCTCATTTCCGGGCTTCACGTCCTTACTCACAGGAGGCAGTGTTGGTGGCGTTAAGGGCCATCTCTGCCCACTCATGAATGGTTCAGATGCTTTGTGCTCTCGTTACATGTGTCTGCAATGTGATTCTTTACAAAATCTTTATTTTTTAAATTATCTTTTTTTTAAAAAATAGTTTTTATATACTCAAGCAGTGTATGTCATTATAGCTTGCAAACTGAATTTTCCCAGCATGAATACTCTATATTAGTCCAGTTAAAGATATTATCATACACGCTATTATCAACAGATACTTTTCCATTTTTTGTGTACCTTAAATGCTTTGCTTCTTTCTTTTCCCCTTGATTCCCTCCTCTCAGCCTCCCCTATTTCCCACTCTCCTCTCACACTGTCTCTACTATCTACAATTGTTCTCCACACTTTTATATCTTACAATCTTTCAGTTTCTGCCAGAGTGCCAACATTCGGTATATATTGAGTGGGGACATACAGTGCCTCTCTTTCATAGTCTAGCTTGCTTTGCTTAGCAGTACATCTTCCATTTGTGTACACCCATCTGTTTGAGGACATCTGGGATGATTCCATGTCTTAGCCATGGAGTAATGCTGCAATAAACATGGATGTGCAAGCACTTTTCTAAGTGTTCTCCTAATCTTTGGGTAGATACCTAGCAGCGGAATTGCTGGATCATAAAATATAAGATCAGCATGGCTGGCTCTGACTCCTGTGACAAACGACAAGCTCCTAATATATGTGTTCATCAGTTTAGAATTGGTTCGTTCAGATCCAAACAGTGAGAAGCGCCCTCCACGCTGCCAGAGCTTGCTGTACCGTAAACTGATAGGAAAGAAAAGAAGACATGTCACATTTACGTGCGAGAGAAAGAAGCATGACTTGGAAAACAACCACTAAAACAAAAACAGAAACAAAACCCAAAGTGTACATTCTGCTTTTTATTAAAGAATTTTAAAAACCTTTCTTGAGGCCAATAATGGGTACATTTAACTCACTCTTTTCATTTGTACATTTTTTTTCATTTTTATTTATTTAGTTTTTCATTTGCTATATGGAACGTATGCTCACCAGAGAGAGACAGAGAGACAGAGAGAGAGGGAGAGAAGGAAAGTGAGAAAGCAAACCACCTGGACTCGAACCATGGTCAGCTGTGTGGGAGTCCACCACCTTCAACCACCATGCCACCCACGGACCCCTGTACATTCCTTTTAAAAGAATTATCTATTTAACTTTATTTATTCATTCATTTATTTTAGTTTGACCAGAGACACAGAGAGAGGGAGAGAGATAGAGAGAGAGAAAGAGAGAGAGAGAAAGCTTTGGGCCTACCTGGAGCTATCTCCTGTGTCTTGGGTCATAAATCTCATTAATCTCAAGGCCATAATGCCCACAGGACTTCCCCATTCTTCAAGTTTGTCCTGAAAGTCATCTCCAAGATCAGAGACCTTCTTTAGGTCTTTTCCATTCCAAAATTCTTTATTTTCTTTCCCCCTTCCCCCCCAGGTTTTAGCCATGTGGAGCATAAGCTCCCCAGAAAGACATAGATATGAAAAAGTGAGGTAACATCCCCAGGGGACATGGCCATACCACAATCCCTTCTCCTCTGGGGATTTTGGGCATGCATACACATATGCCCAGCATGATTTGCAAGCCACTGGGTCCAGGACTTGAACCATAGTTGGCCATGTGTGAGTCCAGTGCCTTAGCCACCATGGCTTCGTAAGGCTCAATTTTCTTTCTTTTTTAAATCCTATTTTAAAATGTTATTTTACCAGAGGGCATGTGCACTCATGGAGAGACAGAGACAGAGAGAGAGAAAGGAGGAGAGCACCCTTCGTGGAGCACGGCCATGCTGCAGTCCCCGCTCCATTTCTTCTTTCAGGATTTCCAGCACACGCACCTGGTGAGCCTTTCAAGCTGTTGGTCTGGGACTCAGACCGGGGAGCTGGCCATGTGGGATCCAGCCTCCATAAGCACCACGCCACCAGCTGGCCCTCTTCATGTTCAGGATGTGAAAAATCCTGTTCCCTTCAAGGCAAGATGTTAGCTGGTCACACTGACCCTGATCCACAGGGCTTAGAGGACTCCTCTTGCTCCGAAGTAGTGTCGGGAATGATAGGTTCTTTCTTTCCTTTTTCTTCTTTTTTCTTTTTTTTTTTTAAACTACGAGTTTTCTGCCCGTGGTTTGGTTCTCCTGTTGCTGCCCTGTCCCTGGGGCAGATGGTCATCTGAGGACACTGTCTTTCATTGCACTCCAAGGACGTTTCCCGGCACAGCCATCAAGCACCTGCCCGCAGCCCGCTCCGCTGAGCCGATGCGTGGCTGCCTGGACATCCTGCCTTCTGGCTGGGGTCTACACAATGCTCTCTGGCATGTGAGCGAGCTTCCTTTTCAGTTTTGAATGTTGTGCGTTTTCCTTCCTCTTTGTTTTTGCTTCGGAGTAGAGCTGCGTGAGGTAGTCCATGCAACGCTTAGGACGGGGCGCTGAAAGGAAGCACACACCAGGTGAGGACGCCCCTGGACAGCACTGTACCGCGTATGTGAGACTATCGCGCATCACGCTTTAGACTTATAGGCTTCTAGAGACCTCACGTAACCTCCGCAGGCACATACAAGTGGTCTGAAGGTGTTATTAACCTTTATTTACTTATTTATTTTAAAGAGAGATGTTTCCTATAGGGTGCATGCATTCACTGGAGAGTCAGAGAGAAAGCTGGAAATCACCCCTCCCCGGAGGGATGGTCACACTGCAATTCCTTCTCCTCCATTCTCCTCTCGGGATTTTTGGGCATGTACGCACATGTGCCCAGTGTGGGTTTCAAGTCTCTGGGTCTGGGACTTGAACCATGGTCGGCCATGTGAGAGTCCAGCAATATAGTCCGTTATGTTATCTCCTGGTCCCAATTATCCTTTAATTTTAAAAAGTCTTACTACCATATGCAGTAAAATACGTGGACGTTTCTGCTAAAGTAATACATGTGTGCTGATGGGTCTGCAGGCGGCCTGGTGGTGAAGGTGCTGGACCCCACATGCCTGACTGCATAGTTCGAGACCCAAACCTGGTGGCTTCAAGAATCATGCTGGACAAGCATGCATGTGTGCCCTAAATCCCAAGGGGAGAGTGGAAGAGAAGGGATTGTGGTGTGGCCATCCCCTGGGGGGGGGTGATTTCTCACTTTCTTTTTCTTTCTCTCTCCACTGAGCACACGTACCCTATGGCAAAAACCTAAAAACATAAAAATCAAAAAGATGAAAAGAAATAGTTGGACTGGCCCCGCTGCAGAGGTGCAGCTGGAGGGCGCTGCTGTCATCTTGGGGCCGCATAGGAGGGCCTGGGTTCGGGTGCCGGGCCAACCTGAGCACACTGGGTGAGCCACAGGTGTACTCACGATCCTGCCTGGCTGGAGGGCTGGGGGAGAATTGCAGCATGGCGGGATCCTCTTGGGGGGCTTCTACCTCTCTCTAGATACATAGGAACAAATAATAAACTTTAAAAACAAATAATAAGGGCCAGCCAATGACCTAGTGGTTAAGGGAACCAAATTCCTCATGGCTGACTACATGGTTCAAGTCCCAGACTCGGCAGCATGAAAAACATGCCAGGTATCTGTGTGTGTGTGTGCCTCAAATCCTGATCAGACAGAGAAATAGAGGAGACAGGAGTGCCACGTGTCTGTGCCCCATTGGCAGGTGCTTTCTCACTCTCCCTCGCTGTCTCTTTCTGGCGAACAAACATGGACTCTGGCAATTAATAGTAATAATTGTTATTATATGACTCATGGGAAGAAGAGGACCAGGACAGGCCACTCAAAGCCTACAGGAATCTATACAAAAGCCTAGAAATGTCCTGGAGGATAGCTGTGGGGGTTTCTCTTGTTTGTTTGTTTTGTTTTTAGATTTTTGCCATAGGGCACAGATGCTTGCTGGAAAGAGACAGAGACAAAGAGGGAGAATGGGAGAAGTCACACCCCAAGGGGGATAGCCATGCTGCAATTCCTTCTCCATTTTCCTCTTGGGGTTTTAGGCATGCAGACACACTTGCCTGGAGTGATTTTCATGTCATCGGTTCCAGAAATGAACCATGGAGTTGGCCATGTGGGATCCAGCACCTTAACCACCATGACACCTGTACGCTCCTCTGGAGAATATATTTTTTTTAAATTATTTATTTAATTTTATTTATTGTTATTATTATTTTTTTTTTGAGAAAGATTTTTGCTATAGGGCACATGCACTTGACAGAAAGACAGAGAGAGACAGAGAGACAGACAGCGAGAAATCACCTCCCCAGGGAGGGATGGCCACGCTGCAATCCCTTCTCCTCCATTCTCCTCTCGGGATTTTGGGCATGCACACACATGTGCCCGGTGTGAGTTTAAGCCACTGGAGCCAGGACTTGAACTGCGGTCGACTACATGGGAGTCCAGCGATATATCTATTACAAAGACAGAGAGAGACAGAGAGACAGACAGCGAGAAATCACCTCCCCAGGGAGGGATGGCCACGCTGCAATCCCTTCTCCTCCATTCTCCTCTCGGGATTTTGGGCATGCACACACATGTGCCCGGTGTGAGTTTAAGCCACTGGAGCCAGGACTTGAACTGCGGTCGACTACATGGGAGTCCAGCAATATATCTATTATGCCAACTGCAGGTCCTTATTGTTATTATCTTTTAATTTGACCAGAGAGAGATAGAAAGAGACAGAGAGGGAAAGTGGGAAAGCAAGTCTCTAGGTCCAGGACTCAAACCACAGTTGGCTATGTGAGAGCCCAGCACCTTAACTACACTGCTTGCCAGCCCCTGGAGAATAGACATGTAAAACAGTGTGGCTGGCATGCTGGCTCTGAGGGTACTGAGGCAGGGGGGATGAAAGTGGAGGAGAAAGTGTCTGAGCCTGGTGAGCCCCTGGGAATAAACCCTCTGGGAAGGGAGCTCCGAGCGCAGGTGCCCACTTCAAGTTTTCTTAGAGTTGCACTGTAAGGGCGTCTGCTCCTTGGGCAGCTGAGCGAGGGCTCCTCTCTTCCCAGTAACTGTCACATGTCTGCTCTCACTGGTTTGGTCCCCCTTGCTTTGAAGCCCCCTGCCTGACACACGATGCTGGCGTCTCCGGTTGGCCGCGCAGGTGGGAGACTGTGGACAGGATGGAGACGTGGCGACACCACACGGTGGGCTGGGAGTCGTGTGCACATGCTCGGCTGGGAGTCGTGTGCACACGCTCATCCCCAGTTCTCATGGTCCTGTCCCTCTCCCTGCCAGTCCACCTAGTCCTCTCAATTTCACACCCTCGTAGGCCAAAACAGAAGGCAGAGGTGTTATAGAAGACAACAAGCTTCTGGGCCGGCAGGTGACATGGAGGTTAAGGCACTAAGTCCTACATGACTGACTCTGTGGTTTGAGTCCCAGATCTGGTAGTTTGAAAAATCATGCTGGGCACATGTGCATGTGTGCCCAAAAACCCAAGAGGAAAATGGAGGAAAAGGGATTGTGGTGTGGCCATTCCCACTGGGAGCTGGTTTCTTGCTTTCCCTCTCCCTCTGTTGGTCTCTCTGGTGAGTGCACATGCCTCATAGCCAAAAATTAAAAACAAATAAACAAATAAGAACAACAACAAGGACAAACAAGAGGCCAGCAGGTAGCATGGTGGCTAAGGCTCTGGACTGCCATATGGTTGACTGTGGTTTGAGTCCAGGGCCCGGTGGCTTGAAAACCACAACAAATAAATAATGCTCAAAAGCAAACAACACAAGCTTCCTACAAAAACCTCAGTGACACCAATAGACTCAAGAGGACAAGCTCCTGGATAGCATTGCCTGCAAATGTTGGGAGAATAAACTATTTTTAAAAAGAATTATTTATTGGGACCAGCAGTTAGCATAATGGCTATGTTGCTGGGCTCCCATGTAGTCAACTGCAGTTCGTATCCCAGACCTGGTGGCTTAAACACATTCCGGGCACATGCGCATGCGTGCCCAAGATTCCGAGAGGAGAACACAGGAGAAGAGATTGTGGCGTGGCCATCCCCCCTGGGGGTGATTTCTCGCTTTCTGTCTCTCTGTCTCTCTCTGTCTCTCTGGCGAGCGCACATGCCCTATAGCAAAAACCTCTCCCCCCCCAAAAAAAAATATATATTTATTTTATTTTATTTATTATTATTTTAAAATTTGACCAGAAAGAGAGAAAGAAAGGGAGAGTGAGAAAGCAAGTCACCAGGCCTGGGGTCTGAACTGTGGTCTGTCAGTGTGGGAGTCCAGCACCATAACCACCATGCCACCTGCGGCCCCCATAAACTAATTTTTTTTTTTTTTTAGGGGGTTTTTTGCTATAGGGCGTGTGCACTCGCCAAAGAGACAGAGAGAGACAGAAAGCAAGAAATCACCTCCCAGGGGGACGGTCACGCCGCAATCCCTTCTCCTCCATTCTCCTCTCAGGATCTTGGCATGCACGCACGTGTGCCTGGCATGAGTTTAAGCCACTGGGTCCAGGACTTGAACCACGGTCGGCTACATGGGTGTCCAGCGACATAGCTATTAGGCCAACTGCTAGTCCCCCTCTTTAGATTCTTTTCCTTTCCTTTTCTTTATATATTTTGTTTGAGGAATCATGATGATGTCATCCAAAAGACCTGAACCGGGGGCCAACAGGAGGCATGGTTGTTAAGGTGTTGGACTCCCACATGGCCGACCGTGGTTTGAGTCCCAGACCTGGCAGTTGGCTTTCTCACTTTTTCTCACTCTCTCTGGTGAGCGCACATGCCCTATAGCAAGTTAAAAAATAACAATAATGATTAGTGAGATAAACAAAATAATTCTAAAAAAACAAAGGTCAGAATCATTGCTGCTTAAATGAGCCACACCTTGTATTCTTTTATTCCAAACAGACTTCGCAAACACCCCAATTTGTGTCTGGCCCTGTCCTAGGGTCTGAGAATATGGGGCAAACCCAGCCACTCACCCCTGAAGGATTATGGTGGTAACACAATCAAAACACCCCAAATTATAGGATGTATGGGACTTTGTGGACAGAGGTGTGTGGGGTACTCTGGAGCCCCGGAGGAACATAGCCTATGGATGTCCCTGTGTGTGACAGCAAGGAGTCAGGGACTGCTCCCCAAAGGGTATACTTTCTCCTGCATGAACCTCACTACTACTAGTTTTTAAAAAATTATTTATTGGATCGTTGGAAAAGTCATGACACATTTTTACATAGGAAAATATCTCATGATTCTTCTGATGACCCCATATTTCTTCCATAAGTAAAAGAGACAGAGAGACAGGGCAAAGATTTGACAGAGACAGACCAATGCCACAACCTCCCCCAGCCTTAGCTAGCCCTGGCTCATGGGCAAATGTGTGGTGGGTACACTCAAGGAGGTCTCCAGACTTGAACCAGGAACCCTCGCATGTGACACTGCCTTTCAGAGTGTCACATCTTACTGCTACTGTCTAGCCCCTGCTGCTGTTTGCTTCTTGGACATCCTCAAGTTCTGCAAGGTGATTCAGGAGATTGGCTTTCCAGGGCTAAATAGTGAACTTTGATTTTTTTTTTTTTATCCCCTTTAAAAAAAGATTTTTGCCATAGGGTACATGTGCTCACCTGAGACAGAAAAAGACACAGAGATGAGGAAAGTGATAAAGCACCCCTCTGGCGGGGTGGGGGTGGGGGCGTGGCCATGCCACAAGCTCTTCTCCATTCTCCTCTTGGGATATTTTGGGCAGGTATGTGCCCACAATGTGCCAGGCGTGTTTTTCAAGCTGCCGGGTCCAGGACTCGAACTGAACAGTTGGCTATATAGGACCCAGTGCCTTAGCCACCATGCCACCTGCTGGGTGCTCCCCTCACCCCAAAAGGCAGCTAACTAAAAATCCTGTTTTTTCAAATCTCAGGTCACACTGCTCACTTACTTTGGCTATTTTTCTCTTGGGAAGACGTTTCTTCATTGTTTGACCTTGATCTGTAACTTTCTAGTGTGTGGTCTGAAATTTCATTTTCTGCAAGAAAAGAGAATAAAGTTATGAGGCAAAATGAAACGATGCTACTAAGGTTCGAAGCACACCACTGGCATGTAGAAGTGTATGTCCAAATGACATGACCCCTCTGCCACTGTCGGACTGCAGGCTCCCTATGCCCCTCCCATACCGCGTCCCCCTCCATCCACGCCCCATCCATCCACGTCCCGTCTGGGCCACGCAGTTCTTCAGGCCTGCGATGACACCATGGCACTACACGAGTCACTACAAGTTGGGGAAGTCAAATGTCAGCAGATTCGACTCATGAACTGTCCTTCCATATCCTCAAAGAACAAGGGGCATGGGGGCAGGAAGGTGGCTCAGCACTAAGTGATGTAATGTGAGCCTCACCTGCATGGGAAGGTTCTGGGTTCGTGTCAGGAGACCTCCTGAACGTGCTGGGTGTGTGTGGCCCGTGACCCAGGGCTGGCAGAGGCCAAGGGTGGATCACAGGTCAAGACCCTATTGGGGGTGCTGTCTCTCTGTCTCATGAAACACATACACACATACAGACAGGCTTTTTACAAAAGAATGGCGGGCGAAGCATTATGGGAAGTTGTGAACAATACCAGGGCACTCGCCAGTTTTGCACAGACCACTGACAAGTCGACCCTCTCTCCAAGTCAATTTAGAATGAGGACATCTGTCCATGGAGTTTCCCAAGAGACTGATATCAAACTAGTGGGGGTGATACTGTGGGGAGAGTCAGAGCCACTCAAAGGGGACATAAGGACTTGTCTGTCACCAGAGGGCTTTGAGCCTCCCCCAGCACTGTCATTTGAGCTGCATACATATCAGAATTTAAAATGTTCCAGTAGCGACATTCAGGAAGTAAAAAGAAGCAGGTGACATTAATAGGGGCCCAGCAGGTGGTGTAGGGGTTAAGGTGATGGACTCCCATATAGTCAAGCGTGGTTCGAGTTCCGGATCCGACAAGCACGTGTGCTCAGCATCCCAGGGAGGGGATAGAGGAGCAGGATTGCACATGGCCATCGCCCCGGGGGATGATTTTCCACTTTCCCTCTCACTGCTTCTCTGTCTCTCTCTGGTGAGCACACATGCCCTATGGCAAAAACCTAAAAAAACCCTGAATTTCATAAGCATTATTTAAGTGGAACAGCTGGGCTGTTATTAGGTATATAATCCCGTGGGTGCCTGTGCACACAGTCCTACAATGAGTACGGAGCTTCTGAGGCTGGGTGTGTGTTGTAGCCTCACGGCCCATCTCAGTAGAAACTGGGCATGTGTCACCTCTCGCGAGCCATCCCAGGGCTGCTGCGCTGGACCGCACAGAGCTAGCCAACCACCCAGAAGTAGAGGGAGGATTTAATCCTTACACAGGCTTACGGAATTCAGGAAATCGATGGCTATTCTGGATCGCGTTTAAGGTACCTTCCAGCTTGAGATGCGTTTTAATAAGTATCTCCTATACTATTACAGCTACGTCATATTTTGTTGCCAATGATCATTTCCTGTCTTTTTTTTTTTTCTTTCTTTCCTTCCTTCCTTCCTTCCTTCCTTCCTTCCTTCCTTCCTTCTTTAAAAAAAGATTTTTGCCATAGGGTACATGTGCTCACCTGAGACAGAAAAAGACACAGAGATGAGGAAAGTGATAAAGCACCCCTCTGGCGGGGTGGGGGTGGGGGCGTGGCCATGCCACAAGCTCTTCTCCATTCTCCTCTTGGGATATTTTGGGCAGGTATGTGCCCACAATGTGCCAGGCGTGTTTTTCAAGCTGCCGGGTCCAGGACTCGAACTGAACAGTTGGCTATATAGGACCCAGTGCCTTAGCCACCATGCCACCTGCTGGGTGCTCCCCTCACCCCAAAAGGCAGCTAACTAAAAATCCTGTTTTTTCAAATCTCAGGTCACACTGCTCACTTACTTTGGCTATTTTTCTCTTGGGAAGACGTTTCTTCATTGTTTGACCTTGATCTGTAACTTTCTAGTGTGTGGTCTGAAATTTCATTTTCTGCAAGAAAAGAGAATAAAGTTATGAGGCAAAATGAAACGATGCTACTAAGGTTCGAAGCACACCACTGGCATGTAGAAGTGTATGTCCAAATGACATGACCCCTCTGCCACTGTCGGACTGCAGGCTCCCTATGCCCCTCCCATACCGCGTCCCCCTCCATCCACGCCCCATCCATCCACGTCCCGTCTGGGCCACGCAGTTCTTCAGGCCTGCGATGACACCATGGCACTACACGAGTCACTACAAGTTGGGGAAGTCAAATGTCAGCAGATTCGACTCATGAACTGTCCTTCCATATCCTCAAAGAACAAGGGGCATGGGGGCAGGAAGGTGGCTCAGCACTAAGTGATGTAATGTGAGCCTCACCTGCATGGGAAGGTTCTGGGTTCGTGTCAGGAGACCTCCTGAACGTGCTGGGTGTGTGTGGCCCGTGACCCAGGGCTGGCAGAGGCCAAGGGTGGATCACAGGTCAAGACCCTATTGGGGGTGCTGTCTCTCTGTCTCATGAAACACATACACACATACAGACAGGCTTTTTACAAAAGAATGGCGGGCGAAGCATTATGGGAAGTTGTGAACAATACCAGGGCACTCGCCAGTTTTGCACAGACCACTGACAAGTCGACCCTCTCTCCAAGTCAATTTAGAATGAGGACATCTGTCCATGGAGTTTCCCAAGAGACTGATATCAAACTAGTGGGGGTGATACTGTGGGGAGAGTCAGAGCCACTCAAAGGGGACATAAGGACTTGTCTGTCACCAGAGGGCTTTGAGCCTCCCCCAGCACTGTCATTTGAGCTGCATACATATCAGAATTTAAAATGTTCCAGTAGCGACATTCAGGAAGTAAAAAGAAGCAGGTGACATTAATAGGGGCCCAGCAGGTGGTGTAGGGGTTAAGGTGATGGACTCCCATATAGTCAAGCGTGGTTCGAGTTCCGGATCCGACAAGCACGTGTGCTCAGCATCCCAGGGAGGGGATAGAGGAGCAGGATTGCACATGGCCATCGCCCCGGGGGATGATTTTCCACTTTCCCTCTCACTGCTTCTCTGTCTCTCTCTGGTGAGCACACATGCCCTATGGCAAAAACCTAAAAAAACCCTGAATTTCATAAGCATTATTTAAGTGGAACAGCTGGGCTGTTATTAGGTATATAATCCCGTGGGTGCCTGTGCACACAGTCCTACAATGAGTACGGAGCTTCTGAGGCTGGGTGTGTGTTGTAGCCTCACGGCCCATCTCAGTAGAAACTGGGCATGTGTCACCTCTCGCGAGCCATCCCAGGGCTGCTGCGCTGGACCGCACAGAGCTAGCCAACCACCCAGAAGTAGAGGGAGGATTTAATCCTTACACAGGCTTACGGAATTCAGGAAATCGATGGCTATTCTGGATCGCGTTTAAGGTACCTTCCAGCTTGAGATGCGTTTTAATAAGTATCTCCTATACTATTACAGCTACGTCATATTTTGTTTCCAATGATCACTTCCTTTCTTTTTTTTTTTCTCTTTCTTTCCTTCCTTCCTTCCTTCCTTCCTTTCTTCACTCCTTCCC